AGTTTGGAGAGTCCAGGTGGTAAAGGTTCAGGACTGAGATGCTTTTACTCACTCTAATAACAGTACATGTTTATTGTAGAAGTACAAATAAAAACAGAGTGTTCTATTTCTCCGCTCACATATTTCCCTGATGTATAAAGTATGGTTACTCTAGTATATACCTAAGTGGCATTATATTAAACATCTGGTTTTACAACTTGGTTTTCTTAGTTTAAAAAGTTGGACATTTAGGTTTTATTCACTTTTTTATTATTACAGACAGTACTGTGTGTGGCTGCATGATAGTGTGTTTCTGTAGGTTAAATTGCCAGAATTCTTGGATCAAAGAGTCTGAATATTAACACAGAAATACATGAAGATGGTGCTTAACTATGCTCCAGAGCCATGGCAATTTAATCTTGGGGTGGTGGTTGTAGTGCATTCTGGTCCCTTCCTTTCAGGTCGCTTTGCAGGACCTTCAGACAAACTCCAAAATTGCAGCACTCCTGCCTTACTTTGTTTATGTGGTCAGTGGGGTAAGTGACCAGTGTGGGCGGGGAGATGACCCAGTAGAGTGGAGGGCTCACTGAAGGTGCTGCCAGAAGGCTCCTGCCTGTTCCCTTGTGTCCCTCTCAGCCACCTTCTTCTATCAACAGGTAAAATCTGTAAGCCATGACCTGGAGCAGCTGCACCGGCTGCTGCAGGTAGCACGGAGCCTGGTTCGCAACCCACATCTCTGCCTGGGGCCCTATGTCCGTTCCCTGGTGGGCAGTGTCCTTTACTGTGTTTTGGAGCCACTGGCTGCCTCCATCAACCCCCTGAATGACCACTGGACTCTGCGGGATGGGGCTGCCCTCCTGCTCAGCCACATCTTCTGGTAGCCACTGGGTTTTAACAAAGGGTGGGATTGCTGTACTCAAGTGGGTTGGGGAGGGAGGTGGGGTGAAGCCTCTGGCTTTGAGGCTTTTAGGGGATGGGAATGTCTTTCTTTAGAGCTCCCTTGCTGGTGTGCTGTGGCATACTGGGATTCTACAACTGGGTTACCAATATATGGAGGTATTGTTCCTTCAGCCCTTGGATCCTGAGCCAGTCACCACCCCCAACCCCACCCTCACAACCTTGTCCACTTACCCTAGATGCCCCCGAGTGCCACACTAGTCTCTTTGTGTGTCATATCTTGAGACAGTTGGACAGTGCTGCACTTGATTTCTTTCTGTGACTGAATGTTGTTCTCACAGGACTCATGGGGACCTTGTAAGTGGCCTCTACCAGCAGATCCTGCTTTCCCTGCAGAAGGTCCTAGCAGACCCTGTGCGGCCTCTCTGCTCTCACTATGGGGCTGTGGTGGGGCTGCATGCTCTTGGTTGGAAGGTGAGAACCCTGGCCTTTTTTATAGAACCATGAGAGTTCGTTCCCCTATGTGTTGAAAAAAAATATTTCTGGTGTGTGTCTTTTATCATGAAAATGATATGTACTTGCTATTGCCATGTATTGAGTTCTTGCCTTAGGCCAGACTTAGTTTAACTTTATGTATATAAATGTTTTATCCCTTCAAAAGTTCTCTGTGGCAGATGTTTATATAACCTCATTTTGTAAATTCCTCCCATTTCTCTCTTGTATTATTTGAAACATGAATAGATATTGAATGTTGTCAAATCTTTATAGCATTTCTATAGAGATTACCAAATGATTATGTGTTTTAGTTCTGTTAATATTAGGTTAATGTTTTGTTAATAATAGGTATATTAGTGGGTTTTTATGCTATGCCATTCTTGTGTACCTGGAATAATTCTGTTTGCTGCTGTGGAGATTTTTATTGGAATCAAACAATCTATTAGTTTTAGAAAAAAGTGACATCGTTTTCTTGACCATGGAAATGTATTTCCATTTTTTTAAGGTCTTGTCTTTAAGATGCTTTCATAATTTCTCAAAGGAGACTCACTCCCACACACATATATTTTTTTTTCATGCTGGGATCAAATAAGCTTGTTAGGCAGCAAGTATTCCACCACTAAGCCACATTCCCAGTCCCTTTTACTACATTTCCTTTTTTAAAAAACATTATTTTTAGTTGTAGATGGACCCAGTAACTGTATCTTTTATGTGGTGCTTAGGATTGAACCCAGTGCCTCACACGTGAGGTAAATGCTCTACTACTGAGCTACCACCCCAGCCTTATTATATTTATTCTTATATCCTTGCTGCTCTTGATGCTGCCACAGTGGTGTCTTCATGGTGTTGGTATACAGAGATACAGTTGACCTTTGGGTGTTTATCCAGCTATTTTCCTAAACTATCATTGAAAATTCTTTGGGGGTTTTAATGTAGATAATGATGTGTGTAAGTAATGACATCTTTCTTTTCTAACTGTAGTATTTTAAAAATTTTATTGCAAGGATCACTAGTACTGCCTTATGAAAATATTTTTGTCATTTCCAATTTTCAAAGAAGTGTTAGGGTGTGTAACTGAATAGTAGTGAGCTTGCCTAGCGTGTATAAACCCTGGATTCAATTTTCAGCACCAGGTTAAAAAAAAGTGGGGGTGCAGTGGCGCACGCCTGTAATCCCAGTGACTCAGGAGGCTGAGACAGGAGGATCAGGAGTTCTAAGCCAGCCTTAGCAAAAGTAAGGTGCTAAACAACTCAGTGAGACCCTGTCTCTAAATCTCCAACTTAATAAAAAGTGCAAGCCAGGTGGAGTAGTACACACCTATAATCCTAGCGGCTGGAGAGGCTGAGGCAGGAGGGTCAAGAATTCAAAGCCAGCTTCAACAATTTATCTAGACCCTGTCTCCAAATAAAATACAAAAAAGCACCGTGGATGTGGTTAGTACTTAAGTACCCCTGGGTTAAATCCCCAGTATATAAAAAAATAAAAATGCTTATAACCTTTCCCACTTAGGGTAATGTGTACTGTGTATATGTATTACATATTCTCAGGTTAGTAAAATTGTTATATGTATTATTTTTCTTATTATATTGATCTTTTATTGGATGCTTTTTCTGTATTTCTTTTTTCAGTTTAAAAATGTTAACTTTCTTGTCCATAATCCCAGTAACTCAGGAGGCTGAGGAAGGAGGATTCAGACTTTGAGAACAGGCTCAGCAATTCAGTAAGGCCCTATGCAACCTAATGAGACCTTATGTCAAAATAAAAAGGGCTGGGGATATGGCTCAGTGGTAAACCAGCTCTGGGTTCAATCCCCAAATACCAAAATAAATAAACATATAAACAAATAACAAAAAGGTTGAGGGTATAGCTCAGTGGTGGAGGGCTCTTGGGATCAATCCCCAGTATCATCCCTCAAAGATGCAGATAGTTTTCTTTTTTTTTTAAAGAGAGAGTGAGAGAGGAGAGAGAGAGAGAGAGAGAATTTTTTAAAATATTTATTCTTTAGTTCTCGGGGGACACAACATCTTTGTTGGTATGTGGTGCTGAGGATCGAACCCGGGTCGCACGCCTGGCAGGCGAGCGCACTACCGCTTGAGCCACATCCCCAGCCCCCGCAGATAGTTTTCTGATTTGACTATTTCTGTGAGAAAATTGACATTTTTTTTTAAAAGAGAGTGAGAGAGAGAGAGATAGAATTTTTAATATTTATTTTTAGTTTTTGGCGGACACAACATCTTTGTTGGTATGTGGTGCTGAGGATCGAACCTGGGCCGCACGCATGCCAGGCGAGCGTACTACCGCTTGAGCCACATTCCCAGCCCAGAAAATGACATTTTTTAAAAAAGTTTTTAAATGAGATAGGCTTTCACTAGTTGCTGAGGTTGGACTTGAACTTGCAATTCTCCTGCTTTACCTTCCCTAGTTAGATTACAAGTGTGCCACATTGTGCCCAACTTTATTTTTAAATACCTTTATTTATTTATTTTTATGTGGTGCTGAGGATTGAACCCATTGCATACACTAGACATTTTCTACCACTGAGCTACAACTCCAAATTTTTTAAATTTTTTATATGTATTTTTAGTTGTTGATGGGCTTTATTTTATTCATTTATTTATATGCAGTGCTGAGAATAGAACCCAGTGTCTCTCACATGCTGGGCAGGCGCTTTAACACTGAATCACAACCCTAGTCCCCCTCCTTTTTTTTAGTACCAGGGATTGAACTCAGGGGCACTTAACCACTGGGGCATATCCCCAGCCCTTTTTTGTATTTTATTTAGAGACAGTGTCTCACTGAGTTGCTTAAGGCCTTGATAAATTGCTGAGGCTGACTTTGAACCTGTGATCCTTTTGCCTCAGCCCCTTGAATAGCTGATTATAGGATTCACTGCACCTGGCTCTATCTGCTTTTTTTCAAATGATCCTGAGGTTTTTCTCCTTTTATCTGCCAGTGTGATTAATGATTTTTTTCTCCTTTTTTTCCCAGTGCTGGGGATGGAGCCCAGGGCATCAGGCATGTTAGGCGGGTGCTCCACCAATGAGCTAAACTCTTAATTTTGTTGTTATTGTTGTTGTATTTTTGAGATGGTGTCTCACCACGTTTCTCAGGTTGGCTGGCACTGAATTCCTGTGCTCAAGTGATCCTCACACTTCATCTTCCTAAGCAGGACTATAGTTTCACACCACCACACTAGGTGGATTTTCTGATAAATTATGGTTACATTTCTAGGTTAAACTCCACTTGGTCATGGTATAGACTTAAAGGAAACCCAAAGCTTTTAATGGAATATGTTGCATTTTTTTAAAAATATATTTTTAGTTGTAGATGGACACATTTTTATTTTTTATTTTTATGTGGTGTTGAGGATTGAACCTAGGGTCTCGCATGTGCTAGGTAAGTGCTCTACTGCTAAGCCACAACCCCAGCCCATGTTGCATTTTTATACTGTGGGGATTGCTAAACTTTAAAATTATCTATCTAGGATTGAAACACTGTGCCACATCTCCAGCTCTTTTTTATATTTTGAGATAAGGTCTCACCCAGTTGCTTAGGGCCTCACTAAGTTGCTGGCTTTGAACTTGGTATCCTCCTGCCTCAGCCTTCTGAGTTGCTGGGATTACAGGTGTGTGCCACCATTCCTGGCAAAAGTATTTATATTGAGTTAAATCAATCATGTTTCTCTCATGTGCTGTCTAGGTTTAGTATAAGGATTGTATTGGCCTTGCAGAATGAAGGGAAATAACATTTTTTAAATACTTGTTTTTATAAATTGAGATAACCCTTTTACTTTGGTAGAATTTTGGCATGGTTTTCTTTGTAACTTTTAACTATTATTTTAATGTATTTCAGTTATTTAAACTTTCATATTTCTTTGTGAGTCAGAAGTTAATAGTTTTTCTAGGAATTTGAGTTTTGTCAACATTTTCAAAAGTTTATCCTGTGAATGAGTGACCAAAATCTGCCTTATCCAACAAATGTCATCTCCAAGTCTTAGTTGCATTTCCCTTAAATTAATTACAAGATTTAAAATTGTATAATCAGAGTTTATTTCTCTGGTGTTTTTTGTGCAGATGGCCTGAACTGAGTTACACTTTACATCTAAATGAGAACTGTACTTGCTCCTGATGACTGTGTTCACTAGTCTGCAAACTGTTAATCTGTGTTGTTAGCAAGGATTTTTAACATATGCTCACTTAGTCTCCAGCAAACATATAGCAGGATGGTGGGGTCACTTCATATTGTCTGACTTTGTACTCTTACCTTTATCACCATTGCTTAACAAAGCCTTGAGCATATACCAAGGTTCCAAATAAACGTTGGCTGAATATCCCAGTTAGAGTTTAGGAGGATTGAGCCCTGTATAGAATCGGATAAAATTAGGTCTTTCCCAGGAAAAGGGTACCTGAGAGGCAATAAACAACACAACAAAGAGACGTATTGCATTTCTTCTTTCCAGGCAGTAGAAAGAGTCCTGTACCCACACCTGTCTACTTACTGGACAAACCTGCAGGCTGTGCTGGATGATTATTCTGTATCTAATGCTCAGGTCAAAGCAGATGGACACAAAGTTTATGGAGCCATTCTGGTGAGTATCAACCCCTTCTAGCCTCCTTCCCCCTAATGAGCTCAGCACGCTTACTTTGGAGTACTTGATGGGCTTAGGCTCATCCTCCTCCCTTCCTCTTACAGGTGGCTGTAGAGCGCCTGCTGAAGATGAAGGCTCAAGCAGCCGAGCCCAGCGCGGGTGGCCCAGGCGGCAGGGGGTTCCGGCGTTCGGAAGACCTGCCTTGGGACAGCCTTCTCCTTCAGGAGTCTCCTTCCGGGGGCGGTGCAGAGCCAAGCTTTGGGTCTGGTCTTCCGCTGCCACCAGGGGGAGCGGGGCCTGAGGACCCTTTTCCCTCAGTGACCCTGGCGGACATCTACCGTGAGCTCTACGCCTTCTTCGGTGACAGCTTGGCCATCCGCTTTGGCACGGGCCAGCCTGCACCCACTGCCCCAAGGCCACCCGGGGAGAAGAAAGAGCCGGCAGCCGCCCCGGACTCAGTGCGGAAAATGCCGCAGCTGACGGCCAGTGCCGTGGTCAGCCCG